TCTTAAACCAGTCAATCAGGAATCGCCTGATCAGCACTAGATAATCCACCTAACAGACCCATGCCATCCCCTAAAAGAACGTAGCCTTGTAATAACCAACTTTTTTTTTTTTTTTGCGTAGTATATAACTTCTTGTTCTTGCTCCCTCTTGCTATGAAAGTCTTTCATTTTGTACAACTCTTCAGAGCTCCCTTCTATCTGCTAAATGGGATACTATCCAATTCAAATAGATTTTGCTCAAACTCTTATATTTTTAAATAAACCTCAGTTTATCTTTTAACATGAATGATGGAAGAATGGATTGTCGATGATACATCCAAAGCTACTGTAGAAGAGGGAAGAACAAATGGTTAACAGAGAACTTAAAAACAAATTTAGACAGGAAAAGTAATTATATGAAGATAAATGTAAATAATTTGATTTTCACAAGATTTTAATGAAAGCACTTATTAGCAGAGGAGAAAGCTAATATTTATCTGTAAGTTGCAAGCTTAATTCTTAAAGTACAAAAAAAGGAAAGTTTTTAGTGAAATACATATGACCAGAAAATGTTTCTTTACCTATTTTGCCATAAGAGGAGATAAATGGATATGAAAGTGCTTTATAAACTTGAAATGCCTTGCAAATCTATTGCTATTCCTGTCAGATTATCCCATTATACCTCTGGTAACTGCTGTGTAACTTGACATGGGTCTTCTATTTACACAAAAAGTAAAGTTCCTAGGGTTTTGAAGATATTCCCATTCTCATTACATTTAGGCAGTGAAGGGTCTCTAGGTTGCCAAATACAGACAACTGCCTAGTGTGATACCCCCATGTCAGCCTTAGAACACTATACTCGTAAAAGTACAATGCAACTTAAGTCCACAGTAGATGCAATCATTTTCTTACTTCAGATACAGGAGAAGTGTTAGGAAACATCAAGTGCTCTACTGCTTTTAAAGACCCCAGAAAGAGATGAAAAAAAAAAAAAAAAAAAAGAGTAAAACCTAGCTTCTGTAGCTGTGTGAATTCAGTTGCTCTAACTTCTTAGAAATCCTAAAACTGTTCAGACAAGGTATTGGTTAGGTGAAGGTGGATGATGCCTTGCCTAACTCATTAGCTATCATTGATAGAGTGAAGTGAGATGGAATAGTAGGCACAATCTAATTCAGCCTTTTCTGTGTAGTCTAATGCACCTAGAATTTGGCATCACTATTTTACACCAGAAATACACATGATCATTAGGGGCCAGGAAGTCCTGGGGTTTTGCTCTAACTTCACCACTAACTTAAGAATGTGATATTGGGCAAGTTACTTAACTTGTACAAACGTCAAATTTCTTATCACTAAAATGTGACTCAATGAGATAATGAATTTGAAAACACTTTGTAAAACTAAAAGTACCAAGGAAATAATTCTTCCATCCCAAAAGATTATGAACATCATTAAAATTGACCACATGGAAGAAAAGCACATATGAATGAGACTTAACTGTGATCCGCAGATAGATTTACAGTATTATCACATCATGGAGGACCACAAGTCTGATAAAGACAAAGACTGGGCGCCAACCTATGCCTGAGGAAATTCAGGTTTTCATGGGAAACACAGAGCTCTTAGCTGAATACTCTCTGGGTGGTATGGAGGTTATTCCTCAATATGTCCTACTTTCAAAGGGAGATAACTGTATCTTGAAAAGGCAAGAGGCCTGTAGAGACTAACATGGACATCATGCACCAGTCTAAATTAAAGTTTTACAAAGCAATGAGAAAGGGTCAGGAAGAAAACATTCTTGCAGGAGGTGGAGTCCTTGAAAGCCAGCTTTGATGGATGGACAATGTGTGCAACTGACTGACCTATCTCTTTGGTAGGCAGCTTCAGGGACTAGGGCTTCCCTTTTAAAAGAACTTGGGCTACTCTTGAGTCTAAGAGGCTGAGTCACAAACAATGCGTAGCAATAAAAATAGCTTCTTATTGAATAGAATTTTATTTTCAAAGGGGAAGTAGGGGGTGTGACACATGCAGTAGCCTACAGTCTCCTACTGACTTTACCACCACTATAGCCAGAGAAGCCAGCTGATATGTCATACATGTTAAAAAGTGAAAGTATGCCACAGTGTATGGTACTTTTACCCCCAAAAATTTCAAGAAAGAAATTACCAGGCCACCTTCATAACGGTGCCTGTTATGTGATCATAGGAATAAGCCAGGGGCCTAGGAACTCAATTTTCTACAGGGTCCCATCAATGTAGCCATATCCTGACCCATTCTCTAATGGAAATAGCTGGAGAGCTAGAAATATCAAGACTATGAGAACATCAAAGGCCTCATTGGAAAAGCCCCCACACAGAAAAATGTGTGGGCCTGAATTCTTCCATTCTGGAAGGGTAAAGGCCTGAGCTGATGATGCTGGGATGAAACACTGAAGTCTTTAGAGAAGCAAAACAAGTATAAGAAAGTTGACACACAGATCATTAAATAGCCTTTCCCTTAGAACTAATGCTAACTTAGTTTTGATTTGAAAGGTACAGAGACATTTTGTACGTTTTAGTAATAAAAAGATCATGATCATTTTTTCCTAACTTGTCTCTAATCTTTTCTAAAAGATCATTGATCTCTAATCTGGCTTTTCCTTCATTTTTTTCCACCTGAGGAACTATTTAATGCTTATTTTTAGATTTTACAAAGATGTTTTACATTCTTCAGAATGTTACCTGATGCATAAATAGTACTAAACCAAACCACTTTTCTTTTTTTGTAGTACAAATACTCAGAATGGTTAAACTTTCCTGCCTACCACCCTCTTCCTAATCCTAAATTTACAAATCTACAGTTTAACCATGGTGTCAAAATCCAGTTTGAAGTCACACTCCTTCTTCAAAATTCTTCACATCCGCTTCTCTGGAAGCAGCAGTTTTTATGTTTTACCTGGGATTATACTCCTCTAGGTACATGTCTTTCGTAGTGCACATCAGGTTCGATAAGAAAGAATACTAATGGTAAGATGGGGCTTTGCAGTCAGAATATTCTGGTTTCAAATCCTTGTTCTGCAACTTACTGGCAGTAAGGGCTTCATGACCTAGAACAAATTAGTTAACATATCTGAGATTCAGTTTTCTAATCTGCAAAATGGGAACCATCACAAGTTTGTTATAATGTTTAAACTAGGCTGTGTGTGTTCACATTGTTCTTTTTTCCTCCCTTTCTATATACCTGAGGTGCTAGATGTCTTTTTAAAGACTAGACACAAAATGAATAATGTAGTAAAATTGGAGGAGTTACAAGCAATCTCTTTGAGGAAGGGTTTCTTCAATTCTCTCCAGTTTAAGTTACAAGTATATATCTGTACCATCATTATACTGAAGCAGTTAGTGCATTATACTGAGGACACATTAACACATGTGCAAAGTATCCTACCCAGTCTTGACCAACTTTAAGAATATTGATCTGATCTTATTTCAACATTATTATTTTACACTCATAGTGTCCCAGATGCTGTAGTGGATAAACCTAAGTCTATTAAAGAGGTGAAAACATAACAAGTAGAAACATATGAACTGGTTTACATACAGCACATGTAAAGTCTGTTATAAAACTAGCATCAGTACCCTCCAATGCAAAGCCTTTTCTGAATATTTGTTTGTCATGAGTTATTTGTAGTACTTTATTCATTTTTTTCATAAAAGGTGCTCTAAAATTATAATGGATATCCCTTCTTCTGTCGATTCAATTCTGGCCTCTGTATAGTAAGAATCACCTTGGAATAAATGAGCCCAAATATCCCTGCTCTGAGGACTGCTCTTACTCCACAAGGCACATGCACACACAAAAACCCCCAACCCATGACCCACCTCAGCCTCCTAGGCTATTTACTACCATGCCTTTCTCAGCCCCAGCCACACTACTTAGGCCAGGATTGGTACACCTCAAGCTAGCCAGATCATATTCTCTTTCTCCTAAAGAATGTACAAATAGTGTCCAGAAATTTCAGTTAATAAGCTTCCTACTAACAAACTTCGTGATTCCTATTATTCTCATTTTCTACCTTATATTTAAAGAAATATAAGCAATCTGTTCAACAGAGACAGAGAGAGATGAAATGGACATTAAGTGGGAGAAAAGATTTAATAGCTCAGCTGGTCCCTGAGATCAAGAGGAAGAAAAACCACCCTTGGTTCTTGTGACATTCCAACTCACCTTACATCCCCTTGGATGCCCAACAAAAGGAATAAAGCAGCAAAAATATATTTGTTCAAGCCCTCCTCCCCAAAACTAGCATTAGTACCCTTGCATGCAAACCCTTTTCTGGGTATTTATTTGTTAAACATCGTACCCATTTAAAAAAAAATGTACAGCAGCTTTTAAGAGATTAAAACAGATACAAGAAACAATAAAATTAAAATACCATAAAACAGTACCTCAAGCTCAATGAGCATTTATGTATTCTAGTCTTAATTTTTGTAGCTGAATTGTGTAAGAAGTAATCTATCATGTATGCATTAGCTCAGTTATTGTGTAGATCAAAAGGTAAAACCATCCTAAACAGGAAACCAATATTCTTCCTGTTTAATCAACAAATCTAAAAATTTATTCTTTTCAACTATTTACTCTTGTCCACCACACCATAGTGCTCCACATGTTCATCAAAGTTTTATGACAAAGAGAAAATTTTCATGAGCCACTTTTGTATCCCCACCCCCTTAAAGAAAGAGGGAGGAAAAACTGTTTCATACAGAAGGCGTTAGTTGTATGAATTACAACTGCCACCTAAGTGTGGGCTCATGTAACCAACAGGGATTTTACCTACATCCATTCAGTCAGTTTATGGGGGTTTAAAGAAATTCCAAAGAGTCATCAGAAGAGGAAAAATAAAGGTAATGCTTTTTGCCACACAGGTAGAATCTTTGAAAATATGTGTAATATGTAAAACATTTTGACACCCCCATAAATATTTTTCCAGAATTAAGAGTATAAATTGCTTCTCTTGTTCAAGTGCTTCCTATCAGCCTCTGTAATCACTACTCACAGTAACCTCAACTCCTGCCACAATGTACAAAATGCAACTCTTGTCTTGCATCGCACTATCTCTTGTACTTGTCGCAAACAGTGCACCTACTACTTCGTCTACGAAGGAAACACAGCAACAGTTGGAGCAATTGCTGCTGGATTTACGGTTGCTCTTGAATGGAGTTAATGTGAGTATATTCCCTTTCTTACTAAAATTATTATATATAATTTTTTGAACTGGAGTTCATTTTTTAATGAAAATATATTATGCTTTCTCAGAATTATGAGGACCCTAAACTCTCCAGGATGCTCACATTTAAATTCTACACGCCCAAGAAGGTAAGTACAACTTTCTATGTTCAATTTATGTCTTAAGAAAATTCAAGTAATATGAAAATTTGTAGCTGATTAGATTAATAGCACTTCATCTGAGGAAAAGAATCAGTAACTTCAATATTTAAAAAAATAACCAATTTGGTAATGAAGCTTCTGTAAAATAGCTTTGCCTATATATTTTTCTGTATGTATTTGTATGTTTTGGGAGAGGAAGTGGGAAGAGACAAGAATAATATCCCCAGTTTATTGATGGGACAGATTATATTCTTATTTTTATTTAAAAATGTAAAACTTGAGAGAGATTTGATTATATCATTTTACCACACAAATTATCAAAGTTGATTTCCTATTTTTAAAAATCCTTTATTGTTTTAGGAAAAACTCCTAAGGGTCTACCTTTGAGAGGCAACATAGTGGTGGCCAATAGCATAGTCTCTAGGGCCAGATTATCTGAACTGAATTCCCAGCTCCGTTATGTCTTAGCTTTTGTGACCTTGGGCAAGTTACCTACTCTGACTCAGTTTATTATCTACTTATGTGAATGATAATTATATATATACTTCATATAGTTTTGTGAGGATTAATGGGTAAATGTAAAGTACTCAGAACAATGTCGGTCACAGGGTAAATACCATATAAACATTAGCTATTAGTAAAAGCAAAATTCTCCCTGGGAGTGTAAAGTAAAATTTTGGACTTACACATCTTTTATGCCAATAGACCTAGAGACTTATGATGCTATATGACTTGTTTTCCAAGATTTGGTCTTTTGGGGATTCAGATAGATAAACACAGATCATCCAAACTCCTATGGCTATACTAGGAATATAAAGTTTCCTAGTAGTTGTGCCAGTCAACAGAGAATGAACATGACTTGGTGCTGGAAAGAGTTTGTCCCAGGGTGAATCCAAGTTCAGAAAAAAAAAAAAAAAATGGGACTTAAAGGTCATGGATGCAATGTCATTGATCTCCTATTGAAAGAAATTATGCTTCAAACTACTCCTTTGAAAGATGAAAATAACTTAAGAGATGCTTCTTTAACTTAACCAGAGCCACAAAACTCTTAACTCCAGCACCATAAAGATACTAGACTGTTTTCTGAGGGAAATAGCTCCAAGTTGCTGTGCCAAAAACTTAAGCCCTGAACTTGTAGTAACAAGTTGAAAGGGCAGTGGATGGAAATGTCATAAAATGTGTGTGGTGTAGTCCTATCTTCTCTCCCTTTAAAGACTTTTAGAAAGAGAACATGAGATTATGTGCATAATTTAGAGGGTGGTGAAATTCTTTGAAATCTAACAGTTTCTAAATGATGACTCATCTATTTGAAACCCAAAGTAATGTGATAAGCTCCATTCATTTGTTCATTTTACCACCATTCTTGGTTTGCAAAAAAATTTTTAGAAATTTATAAAAAACATTTAATTCAAAGGATGCTATGTTAGAGCTATAAAGAAAAAGAACTAAAATTTAATCTTGGCTCCACCTAATCATGTGACCTTGGGAAAACACTTAAATTCTGAGATTTAGTTTCTTTATTTGTAAAATGGAGATAACAGCACTGCATTGCTATCTCAAGGGGTGGCTGTGAGACTTAAATGGGCTTGTTTGGGAGAAGACACTTTAAAATTATAATGGACCAGAAAAGTATGAAATACTATCATTATAACAGACCACATGGGTGGGTGGGTGTATAGGTCTAAGTCAGGAGAGCCACCCAAAAGTCCTTCAAATATTCTGATCTTTTATTTGGCTGGAACACATAATTTTTTAATATACTTACTATAGAAAAGTAAAAAATTAGGAGAGTTATATGACTTGCTATACTGAGAGTCATTACTATACAGTTAAAATTGTCTCATCTATAAAATGCTGATTTTAGCAATATCATATATATTGCAGATATAGCAATATCCAAGAGCTACTCTGTCCTTAACATTCTATGATTCTCAACTCTTAGATTATTAAATGTTAGAATTATAGAATGTGATCCTATACTTCCATGCTGTGACTGCTCTGATTCTAATAATTTCTATACAGACTGGAAAATAATTCTACTTTTGTGATTTGCATTTGGGTACAGAAATGTTGACTTTTGGCAAAGCCAAATTAAGCTGAAATTATTGATTCATTATTTAACATTTATTTATTTGTTCATTTATTTATTTACTTATTTATTTTAGAGAGAGGGAGTGAGCACAAGCATGAGCAGGGGGAGGGAGAGGGGCAGAGGGAGAGAGGGAGAAGTAGGCTCCCTGCTAAGCAGGGAGCCTGACATGGGATTCAATCCTAGGCCCCTGGGATCATGACCTGAGCTGAAGGCAGCCACTTAACCCAGGAGCCCCTCATTATGTAACATTTAATGCTAAACATGGGTAGATGAACTCTAGTTTTTCCAGTCTTATAATATAAGCTATATTGGTCCATCTTTACAGTAATGCTGAGAACAGGGAGAATAGTAAAAAACTACTCTTAATAAAATAGAGATTAATTTCTGAATCTGACCTTTAGGGCAAACTGACCTGATAATTATATTTATTATTATTCAAGGCCACAGAATTGACACATCTTCAATGTCTAGCAGAAGAACTCAAACTTCTGGAGGAAGTGCTATATTTAGCTCAAAGCAAAAACTTTCACTTGACAGACATCAAGGAATTAATGAGCAATATCAATGTAACACTTCTGAAACTAAAGGTAAGGCATTACTTTATTTGCCCTCCTGAAGATAAAATAAATGGAAGGTCATTTTAAAGTGGTATAACATTTTTATAATTTGTGAACTTCTCATGCATTTTAAGACCACTGTGAACATGAATCATTTTTATGTTAGATGATACACTATGGAGCTGGGAAGTATAATTTAGAGGGTTTCTGCCTACCATCCACCCAGAGATAAGCCCATAACCCAGCACTCTTGTCACCTCTCTCTCACATTAATACAAAACTGGGAGTGGGAAAAGACAATTGAATTTCACGGAAAGCAGACAGGTTTTGTTACATATTTTCTAATTCTTTCAGATCATTTTCCAGAATAACCCATACTAATTACCTGAAAGGTTTTAGGATGCGTTTTCCCTATTATTTGGTGGAAGGACTAAGAAATTTATCTAAAACACTGGAAACTACTAAAATGGCCAATGGGCTAGATAATTAACTCCTTGTTTAGAGGTAATGTTTTTAGGAACTTAAGTATTTTTAAATGCACAGGAAATACTAAATATACAAGGGACTCAGGTGATGTGAAGAGATTCATGGCTCTCTTTTTTCATCTCATCTGCCAAAGTACAAACTTCATGAGTTAACAGGCATCCTTAATAGCGTAATTTTAATTACAGTAGAACTAAGTTTCTAAAATTATGTAATTCCAGTTGTTTCCAAATAAGTCATTGTATTAGTAGACTGTTTCTTTCCATCTAATTAAAAAAAATACATTGAAATCAATGTCATCTAGACATTGATAGACAATAACTGTGTCAAAAGGTTTGTTCCAAAATTTTTGACCATCAGAAAACTCATTCTAAATTCTTGATGCAAAATTAAGATAAAATTATGTGAAAGTTGGTAAATGTCAGCTATTTTTAAAAAATTTAAAATTAAATTAAAAAATTTAAATTTAAATTTAAAAATTAAAAAAAATTAAAAAGCTAATTTAAAAAATTTAAACCTTCCCAAGAGATATTTAAATAATTATATGTAAGAGGGCATATAACACTGCAACAGGTTATTTAAAGGGAATACTTATCTTACTAGTTTTATATTTCCATAATAGGAATTACCTCAATTTGAAAAAGTCCTCTCTTTTATCTTGTTATATTTCAAAATATTTTGTCAGCTAGAGGTAGAGTTGAAATAGCTCCTATCAGCAGAGGAGGTTAATTTCTAAAAAGTCAGTCCACAGAACAAAATTTCTAATATTTAGACTTTAAAAATTGGGAAACTCACCTGCATTAATACTAAGGTGGAGTAGGAGTGGGTATGAATATTTATGAAAATGTTCTTCACACAAATTTCTTCCAAACAAAAGCTTATCCTAACATACTCTGGGTTAGTTCTCTTTTGCTTTGGGGAACTATGGGGAGATTCACTAAAGTTAAGATAATAGGAGACTTAAGGTTTGAAAAAGAAGTATAATGTGTATATGACTGTATACATATAACCTATAAATAGATATATGCCCAGAGGAAGAGAGGTTTAACAACTTTATTCTGCATGCAGCATTTAATGAAATATTTGTCCAGAACTGTTTTTATTTAAAATGTTTACCTGTATACAATTCAGGAAAAAGAATTCTTGTGCTCACTGAGATGGACAGAATTGACAAATGAGAAAAATCCTAGTTTATATGTATGCTACTATCACTTGGTATCAACATATAACTTTTTGACATGCCCTTTTGATCATTTCAGGAAAATATGAATGATTAATATATTAAACATACTTGAAAGTAAAGGGCATCAGTCATAAGTTATTCAACTGAGAATAACTATTTATGGGAAGCTACCTTGAACTAAAAAAATTAAAATTTTCTTTTATAGGGATCTGAAACAAGATTCAAATGTGAATATGATGACGAGACAGCAACCATTACAGAATTTCTGAACAAATGGATTACTTTTTGTCAAAGCATCTTCTCAACACTGACTTGATAATTGTCTCCTATTTAAAATATACCAGGCTATTTATTGAAATATTTAAAATTCATATTTATTTTTTTGACATATGGTTTGCTACCTTTTGTAATTATTATTCTTATACTTCATATGATAAATATGGATCTTTTAAGATTCTTTTTGTAAGCCCTAGGGGCTCTAAAAACTCAAATTATTTATCCCAAAATATTTATTTTTTTATATTGAATTGTTAAATATACTATCTATGTAGATCAGTTAATAAAATTATTTAATAAAGTTGATGAATAAAAACAAGCCCAGCCATTTATTATCCTGGGAATAGCAGCACAGAGTAAAACATTTCTGAATTACTCATGTGAACTCATAAGATAGTTAAGATGCTTACAAAACTCACTCTTCCCCTGGAGAGGTATGTGGAATAGGAAATGGGCTTCTCAAAGTTCTTGCTTTCTCCTTTCATAAGCTGATTGGATCCTTAGTTCTAGTCTGAGAAAACCTCATCAAATCACACTACTTTCCTTCTTCAGGTTATGCCTTAAACAAGATGCCAAACACATTACTGAAACTCTTCATATAATTGGTGTGCCTCCCTATCCATTCTCCAGCATCTTACAATGTGCTGTCAGGAGGCTCACCTGTATAACATATATCAAAGGTCTCCCCTGCCCTCTGGATTTCCAGTAGGTCCCACCACTGGGGAGTTCTGGTAGGATGTCTGAGGGACAGAAGATATCCCCTGACTCTCCATGTGAAGTAGCCTCTGGATGGCTATGCCTCCCAACCAAAGAACCCAGTTTCTCTCAAGACATTTTCCTTCTGGGTTCTGCTAACTTTTCCTTCCACTCCTCCCTTCAGCCCTAGGGATAGTAACACTTCGACCATTACTAGCTCTAGGGTACTGCATTATCCCTTGCAGCTTCCCTATACCATGACCATAGTTTGGTAAATTGTCTCTTTATTAGATCCTCCTTGACTTATTCTGAGAATGCCATCTCTTTTACGGCTCAAACACAGTAATCATGCCAGAAATAGCCCCAAGAAATAGACCATCAAAATCAGATCTGGGAGTGGGTTCATTAGGAATATAATGATCTATGGGATGTACTAGCATCCTGATTACTCAAATTATCATCAATGGTAGCACAGGATGAAATGCAGATTGAGGACATGTGTGAGATCAAATGGCCATGACATTTAATTGCTACAATAACAACAGTTATAAAAATTATGATTATCACCTAGATTCTTCTGATGGTCTCAGAGAAAAGAGGTGTTAAAAATAACTTATGAATATACAATTAAAAACATGCATGGGGAACCAGAAGTCCTTGCTAGCAGGTTTGAAGGAGTCGTTCATCCCCTGTAGTCAGAGCACATATGACAGAGGACAAAGCCAAGAGCCAGATGTAAGGTCTGTAAAGGTATAGCGCCAATTAAAAATTTAAGCGTTCTAGGTTTCTTACACTAAGAATGAGGAAGGAGTGAGATCGTGAGATAGGAGATGTAGATATCTTGCCAGAAAGAGAGGCTGAGAATTCTAAACATCCTATTGACAGAGGCAACCTCTTTTTCTTTCTTTTTTTTTTTTTTTTAAAAGATTTTATTTATTTATTTGACACAGAGAGACACAGCGAGAGAGGGAATACAAGCAGGGGGAATGGGAGAGGGAGAAGCAGGCTTCCCGTGGAGCAGGGAGCCCGATGCGGGGCTCGATCCCAGGACCCTGGGATCATGACCTGAGCCGAAGGCAGACGCTTAACGACTGAGCCACCCAGGCACTCTCTTTTTCTTTAATAGTATTCTTTTCAAGGAAAAATCACTCTTCTGCTTAAAAACCTTCCAATGACTCACAAATTAAGGAAAATTTTCCTCAGAACTCACCTGTACCACCTTTCATTACCTCTAGGCCTAAAATGAAAGTTAAGATGTCAACATCACTGAGGCAGTGAGATAAAAGGTGTTTAGACCAACAGGGGAGAAAATTAAATCATGTGTAGGCTGATATACTTTAGATCAGTGCAACTCCCTGGGATTCAAAATTTAATGATAACTTGCAAATGGCATTACTAGTTGGTTGAATAAATTCTTGGACTCCACAGTGGCCTTTTTAAATGATATTTAGATGCCAGAGTTTCCCTGTAGAACAGAGTCCAAAGGACCAGGGAAATGGAAAAGTGGAATGGATCTATTATGTGCAGTCTTCTCATCTTGCCTAGGAAGATATTAAGAAATGCATTGGTAAGGGGGACACTAGCATCCACCAAAGTTGTGTGATGGTTTTTCTTCATTAAACCAGGAATGACAGATGGTGGTGCAGTGGAATTGGTTTCCCTGATCTGAGAATAATGGAACCCTGGAGTAATAAAGTCCAGGTGACAGCATTTAGCCCTCAGAGACAAGGTGGAAGCAATCACTAACTACAATAAACCATAGGGCAAAGTGCTAATCAAAGTGCCTGGATCCAAAGAGATTTGCAATGGTGACTGACTGGTGACAAGATCCCTAAAAATTAAAAGATTCTAATTCTTCTAGGCAGAAATAATTGAAAAATCACCATAATTGGGATTCATGGCCTGTTTTCTAGTTCCCAGACTTGAGCCATTTCCTAGACCTGGTCTCCAAGGAGGCTAGATCCCTTTAAGGAAGGGCCCCCTAATATGTCCACAGATATATACTGTGAAATTTTCTCCCAAGCCATTTTGGAAGAGCTATTTGCCAGGGAGACCATTTACTGAGGAATGGGGAATGTCTAGATATTCTGGAGGTTATTAGTTAATGGCTCTGAAGGTACCCTGTAATTCTGAAACTCCACTGAGAGCCTCCAGTCAGCCTGGAGCTTATGGAGGCCACGTGAGAGATGGAACATTAGCCTGAGTCCATCTTAAGAGGGTCCAAAGGGATCACAGACCCTACCCTACAGACATACCTCTGTAGTGGCCAGAGAAGCACACTGTTAAGGACTCCCTTCAAGACAGCTTAGTTGACTGGCAATCTCTAGCTCTTGCCATTTGCATTTACATGAATGAGCAACAGAATACCTTATATGTCTAGTCCCAAGGATATAACCAGTTCTGCTCTGTTATAATTAGTCTGGAGAGTATTTGATCTTATTATCTCACAGAATATCATGCTGGTCCATTGCATTAGTGATGTTATGCTAATTGGATATGATGAGAAATAACAGAGGTAGTGCCTGAGCAAGACATATGTTTGGTAGAAGAAGGGAGACAAGTCCTCCAAAAGATCAAGGATGTATCAGAAAAATGAAGTAGAGAAAGATATCTGACCACAGGACACCAAGTGATTATGTCACCTGAACTTCCCATCATGGGCCATTTATTAACTGATGTACTGAAACAACATTGGGTGAACAGAGCAGCACTTCATCATAAAATGAAGTTGTGTAGGTTTGAACAGGTCCAGGAGGGAGAACTAAACTGCATAAGCTGGCAGCTTAGAATCTCATGGTACTTGACTTAACCTTTCTTTCTCAGTCCATTCTTTTGGCTTCTTGGGGAGCTTCCTATTACAAATTAAAAGAGAGGAATAAGAACCTAGTTTAAAAATGGATTTGCATCAGATGCTGTTATCAGCCAGAAAATGGATGATCCCAGAACTATAATCCTATTCAAAATTGTGCATTTGTCTACTCCATGCAGAAGGAAAAATGGACATAGGTATGGATCTAGAACTGACTTATGGGAAGTGACAAATGAGTTCACTAGATGATCATACATTGAAAAAGAAATGGAAAAATGATGACAAAGATGTCTGGGGAAGAGGTATGTGAATGGACCTCTTGAATGAGCAGAGAACGTAAAAATATTAATGTCCCACTATAAAGAAGGCTCTCATTGTACAAATGGATAAGATGACCCTCCCTGTGAATGCCAGCCAACTCCTTTCTGTGGCTAATCTAGTGCTTACTCAATAGATCTATGTACAAAGTGGCTGTGGCAACAAGGCTGGAGACTATGTATGAGCCCAACAACATGGTCTTTCACTCACAAACGCTGATCTGGCTACTGCCACTGTTGAGTACCCAGCCTCCCAAAAGCATAAGCCAATGCTGACCTTTCAATACAGCACGATTCCCCAGAGAAGCCAGCTGGCTATCAGATGGTAGATTGATTATATGGATCCCTATCACTATGGAGTAAACACTGTTTTGTCCTCAAAATGATAGATCTATGTTCTAATTCAGATTTTCTTTCTCTGCCTCATGTTCTGCAGCACCACCATTAGATTTATGGAATGCCTTCTCCATCACAACACTGCCTCCAAACAAAGAAGATAGTTTAGGACAAAAGAAGTGTGGCAATGGCATCATGCTCATGGATTTCACTGATACCACTATGTACCCCATCATTCAGAAGCAGTTAGCTTGATAAGAGAGTGAAATAGCCTGTTGAGGGTTCACTTACGACACCTGTTTGAAAACAGTATCGTGAAGATGAGGTATGGTCCTACAGGATGCACTATTTGTGTTAAATCAGCAGCCAATATATGATACAGCCTCTCCCGATGGATTGCACAAGTCTGGCAATCAAGAAGAAGTAAAAGGGGTCCCTCTCATTATTATACTTACTCACTTGAAAAAATTTTACCTCCAATCAATAAAACCATAGCTTTGTCATTTTTAAGTCCTAGTGCTCAAGGAGGTATGTTTCTACCAGGAATCTTGACTTTGGTAACTGATTAAATGGAAGCTAAGACTATGTTTTGGCCATGTGGGGACTTTTCATGCAGCTGAACAGGTACATAAAGGACTACTGTACTGGCCAGACTGATTCAATCTGATGACAAGGGGAAATGGAAGTTCCTGCTACAGAACAGAGGCAACAGCTACACAAAGGGTAGCACTATATTTGGAACCCAGGAAATCCAGCAGGGCATTTTTAAGCACTCTCTTTCCAGTAGTACTAGTCAATGGAAAAAGTGTACCAATCCCCAAAACGCAAAACATCAAAAACTCAGATTCCCCAGAATTGAAATTTGAAGTCCACTACCAGGTA